AAAAGACCCTGTCCGAATGCTAGGAGCAGTAGTAACCCACTTGTAAAACATCTCTATCAGGTTAACATTTACGCCAGCACTCCCTGAAATGTATATAGCAAAGATTTTACATGTCTCTTGGTCAGACGTTTGTGATTACAGTATTGTGTTGTCACTGATGTAGGTAGGCACACAGCGTACAGCAGATTTCAGTTTGTGTACAGCGATGGCTACAAAAACACTGCATATAGTGATGATAGAAATAACTAAAAGTATGTGTCTATTGCAATTCAGAACTAAATTCAAGTTGAACTAATGATCTGGGGCTTATTTTGTAGGTACCTTTCAATGCTGTTGCGCTCAGGGTTATTCACACTGATGTTGCTCCTACACACATCATGTATTCAGTAAATGCCAGCTGGGTCGGTCTCTGCAGGATATTGGATGAGGTCAGATGTCAGACTGATGGGCCAGTCTTGCTTACCCAGACACCAGTCTGTGATTGCTTGGGCTTCGGTGAGTGAATCCTGGGAAGACTTTAGCATTGCGTAAACTAAATTGTCCCGTCTGATCATATGTTGAAACTGCAGCATAAAGGAATCACCGTTTTTAATCACTCTTTTAAAGGTAACTTGAAAAATAGGAGTAGAGTAAAAGAATAAACATCTGCTTCTTCTCTACAGGTTTTGTTTTCCATTATAACCTTTGCTTGTGAGCCCTCTGTCTTAAATTAGTGATTAGTTAAGATCGCAAAACAGTTTCCATTGTAGTCTTTGTATTTATTCATAACTTGATACATTATTTTCCTTTGGGTTCAGATGTTTAAGATCAACTTCAGGAAGTTGTGCTCAAAATCCATTTGGATGTCTCAACCTGTGTGGATTGGGGGTAAAATATTCTTATTGTAGGGGGGAGAAATAAGTACACTTCTCTGAACAGGGCTACAGCAAAAGTCGCCTGAAGTCTGAATCTTACCTTGGGCCTAATCCTCACTAAGCACTCATCTCTACTTAATTTGAAAAAAGTCTGGTTTTGATGCAACAATTCTCAGTTGCTTTCTATGTCTTGAGCATTCAGGGTTCCCTGGAGCTCTGCAGGAGCATAGCCACAAACAAGGAGTGTGTGTTGGGGGGAGTTCTCTAAACAGTTGAAGCCATGTTAAAGTCGCACAGGGAAAATCAGTCCAGAAGTGCAAAGAGTGGTGTTCCCCTGCAACTTTTACTTGACTGCATTATGCACGTATCCTTTGTTCTCTCTTTAAAAAAGTTCTATTTTAATGTACATTTAATGACAAATACCATTTTATCACAAACCATAGCAGGAGATGTTGCCGTTTTGAATCTAAATATTTGCATTGCCTCTAATGACTTTTAGCTATACAACTTCACATTGCATTAATGTGTGTTGTACATCTGTTTTGAAAACACACAGCAATTTTACTTGAAAATCTGAAGGTTCTGTTGCTGCTCCTGGAAAAAACTATCCTGGAGTTGACATCTGGGGTATTTGGGTTTTTCATGACCAAAAGGGGATGGAGGGTAGGGGAGACAAATCACAAGAGTAGCAAGAAAATCATATTTCAGCCTCTGTCTAGGGCATGATTCCTGCTTAAACCTAAAACACTACTTTAAGAAATAACTAGCCTATGCAAAGAATTTCGACTATGCAGTGATTGTGCATCCTTCCATAGTTCAGAGGATTTAAGACTGAACTGTAAATATATTTTAAAGGAATTATCCGAGGGATTGACATGGAGAGGAGGCTTTACCATATTCTGACTCCAGTACCTACAGAAAACTTAAGACTTGTAAACTGTCTGCTGCTGGGAAATATCACCATTCCAGATTGTGTCTTTACAAACCAGGTAAGGGTGACTTATGAAGATCTTCAGACCGCTTCTACCTACACAGCAGGGTGACGTGTATTTTAATTAGAAGGTATTAGATCTATTTCTTGTATTAAATCAGCTGTATTATAAGGCATGCGTGAGCTGGGAGGCTTATGTGTATTAACTGGTGGTTAGGGCTCCAAGATAGGAACGTTTTGTATTCAGTACATAAGCTGGTTAAATGCTCTCTCTATATATATTAACAAACTAATTAAGTGGCGATTTTTATTTTCAATTTTAAACTTACTTTTTAAAATCTTGTGTGTTGCAGTACATGATTCTCAGAGCTGCCCAGTGGTAAACCGCTAAATTCTGTCAGTCTGCATAAATGAAACAGAACAAAGTAATGTTCAGACTGGCAGTGTCTTTCAGTTTGTCTTTGTGTGTTTCAGCAGGGAACTGAAGGGGAGATCCCCTATGTGACATCTGAATACAATTATGACATTTCAGGAGCTGGGAAGTTGAAAATGAAGAAGCACCTCAAGAGAAGAGAACACAGTAGATAATCTCCATTTAAAGCCTTCTGAGAGAATGAATTACAGGGTTTGTTTCATAATAAGGGGCCAGGGAGCTTCCCAGAGAACTTGGCACATTCTTGGAACCAGCAAAGGTCCCACAGAACTGTGAGGAAGAGCATTTATCATCCGGTGCAAATTGTGTAGTGCTTACCTGCCAACCGCTTACTTTTTATACTTCCATTATGTACCTTTGTGTTTTATAGTAAACATCTATTAAAGACTTCAGTTTCAGTTTCTTTTTCAAATCCCACACTGACCCATGTATAGCTGGGCTCACTCTGTCCTAGTTATCCTGAGGGTGATGTGCTCTGAGTAAGTGTCTCCATTGTACTGTGAGCCATAGGAAGAGGATGCCATGGAAAGATACTTTTTTAAATCTCTGGTTAATTCCAGTGTACTGATGATCTCAACCTAATTGCTTATTTAGAAGTTAGTGGCATCCCAACTTTCTGATCTTTAGTCCTGGAGTTTGCAGTGACTTAACTATCCCCCTATGGATACTAATTTCATGTCTTTTATTAAATTGGATCATTTCTATACGAAAAACAGTATCATCTTGTAAACACTTCTGTAGCTTTTCAAGGTACCGTGTATAACTTTCCAAATAAGGCCACTAGAGGGGGTCGGGTCACTTGTCAAATGTTGTGGCCTTGAATTGTCATAGCTAAAGCTACATCAGATTGAGAGGGCACTTAGTGGTGGGTGCCATAGAAAACCTGATGGGGAGAGAAGTGACTAATAGACTTCACCTAAGCTTGCTAAGAGTGTAGACAGCTTGCATCTCCAATCCAGTGAAACTCCAGGATAAAGCTGGAACTGTTCTGGTGGCAATAGGCAATGTCAATAGACTTACTGCTTCTAGAATACTATTGAGAAAATGTTCTGGTTAACAATAACCTTTATCTTGGTTTGTCCTGTCTTTGGTGCCTGGGTATTATTTTTACTTAAGCCTGAAAGTATCCAAATGTGTATTTTGGGGAGAGATTTGATTCTACTGCATCTAACTACCCACATCTTTCTAAATCAACTGGTGATGTTGGAGGCTAAAATGTTAATGGAATAGGGATAAACTTGTCATGTACATGTACCACTAGCGGTAACAACGTTGTCCCGCTAAGTTCTGCTTCCTCTGAGAAGTGCTGGACCATGGGCAATTAGTGGAATATGATATGGTTTGAAGGTAGAGTAAATACTTCATAGTCCTCAATTTGGGGTGCTAATTCTTTCAGATTGTTGAGTAAAGGTTTGGTTACAGTAGACTTAAAAGCTTAAATGCTGGCTAGTAACTTGTCATCTCACTTTGGAGAGCTGTTTACTGGATCTAGAAACAGTGTCTAAGGAACAATCTTTGGTAAATGCGGTCTTAATTTGTCTACACTAAAAAAATTGCTTGTGGCTTTCAACTGCATCTTTTCAAAAGGTGCTGAAGACAGGTTGGCCCTGTCTACATTTGCAGTTAAACTGTTTTTAGGACTGGTTTGGCTTAAACCTGTTGGTAACAACAGTAAACTTCCCAGTGCAGGCAAGCCCACAGTCTCCTCCTAACTCTCGGTTTGGTGTTTGGGAAGCATGGAGACAATACATTGATTAAAGGAGGGGATTATGGGCAATAGCAGGGGACTGAACTTGGTGACCCAAGAGGTGCCTTCCAGTCCTATGTGACCTCAGTGAGACTAAGTTGTCTTTCTGAGAAGCAAAATCTGGAATCTTTGGGACTTGTATCCGATTTGCAAACTTCTTGACTCAGGTCACACTTAGGCTCCTAAAGGAGGAAGGATGTGGTATTGTTCAGAGTTTCAGGTTCTTGGGCTGTGATAACATAGCAGCTATGAATAACTCAAGAAATGCTTTCATCTAGTTCTTTAGGAAATTCACATATGACAGTAACACTTCCGAAATGTGTGTGTACCTGTGAATGAAATAGGGATTGATTTTACTGGAAAACATGGATCCGAAAAGGGCCTGGGACAGTCTGTGCTGAGCTGCTGCCTGTTAAAGAGTTAAAGCTTTAACTTAATCCAGTCTTAATTCTCCCCATATGGCTGGGTCTGGCAGTACAGGAAAGACTTGGATGACAAACTAGCCTGAACAGTGGCTAAAACAAATATGGGGGCCATCTGTTCAGCAAGGGAAAAAATCTCCTGTGAAGCACAGGGCCCCCTCAGAGCGACCCTGCCAAGTTAAAGGTATAGCCAAGGCTTGCTAGCAAAACAAGGGCGGGCAGGGGAGCAGAAAGGAAACAAACTTGCAGTTGTGAAAGGGACGTCTGCTCTGTGTCTGTGATGTCAGAGCTGACAGAGCCTCATGTCTGAATGGAGGGAGGGTGGAACAAGGGGCACTATGCTGCTTCTCTGCCTCTGAGCAGCTGGGTTGCTGTGGCAACCCATCCTACTGCTGTTGTGATGCTCAGTGGTCTGTGGTTTGGGTTTTTGAAAGGGGCTTCAGTGGAGGATGAAAATATCTGGGGGGAGCAGGTTTGGCGAAGTTCAGCTGCGAAATGTCAAATCCTCCCTACCTGGCAAGTGGTGGGAGGCTGTGCGGTCTGGAGGCTGATGGTGGCTGAACTGCAGAGGGGGAGAGAACGGTGGGGGGAGGGGGCGTTACAACTGGTGGAGAAGGGAAGTCAGGAAACCCAAATGAGAAGGCAAGTGAAGTGCGTGGCTCTGAGAAGCCGACACTAAAATATACAGCACCCGAGGGGCTCCAGGTCTGGGAAGAAACGAACTGGCAGAGGCCAAACACATGTTGCTTTTCATGTCAGTGGAGCAGCTCAAGAAAGCAAGCTCTCTCCAGTGTGGGTTGGGGAGGAGAGCAGTGGAGTGAACTCTTCCTGCAGTGAGCAGATCACTGAGCAGCTCTCTGGGCATCCGCTCTGCTTCGAGGAGTCTATTGTGTGCAGTACCCCTTACTGTGTTAACGGGGGTCCTTTCTCCTGCAGGAACTGCTGGAGCGTGCAGCCAGGGTCCCTTGCTGCCCCGCCACACACTGAAGACTATGAACTCGGTATTGACCAAGTATGGTTCCCCCCCTCGGAGCTGGCTCAATCTACGCCTGGGGATGAGTGAGTAAATTCTCTTCTGCACCAAAACCCAAAGCTCCACATATGCTCCGTGTGAGCAGCACAAGGCAGGGAGCTGCCATTCTCAGTAATACTCAGCTTGGACAGAGGTGAACTAATCAGTGAGCTGCTAATAGCTCAGTTTTCTCCAAAGGTGTGCTTGTTAATCAGTGTGGTAATGAGTTAATGGTGTAGGAGCTGAGAGCTTTGCAGGGCTTCAGAGGACTGTGAGAGGGAATTAGCAGTGATGTGCTAATGAGAAGGTCTGGCTCTAAATTATGGAGAACTTTTCCAGTAGGAAGGAGGGAAGCAAAGACCGCTGATTTTGTTGCCGTTCTTAGGGAGAGAACAAAGCAAACCATAATTGTTGGTGCTTAAAGGCAGGCGCTGCCTTGTCAATGAGTAGTGCTATACAGTTCAGTGGAAGAGCTGAATTCCCAGCCACCCAGTATATGGCCCCATGTCCGCATGCCAAGGGAAATCCATACAAAGGAACAAGGGGGAAAGCTGTGAGATTTGGGAGCCTTTGTAATATAGAACATCTTTCAAAAATGTTTCAAATTCTCTTGGCTCATCTCCTGAATGACCTTGGACTAAGATGCAACAACCTTCTCAGATAATGCATGGGGGGTGAGATAGCTCAGTGGTTTGAGCATTGGCCTGCTAAACCCAGGGTTGTGAGTTCAATCCTTGAGGGTGTCATTTATGGATCTGAGGCAAAAATTGGGGATTGGTCCTGCTTTGAGCAGGGGGTTGGACTAGATGATCTCCTGAGGTCCCTTCCAACCCTGATATGATTCTATGATAAGGGAGAACTGGGCCTTATCCTGCATGAGCACAAGCCAAAATGGTTGCCCTTAAGGAAAGGCTGGGGCTGGTATATCACTTTTACTGATGATATATCTTGCTGGAGGGTCTCTTTCTTTGCATGGGTGGCAGTTGCATCTGCCTTTAGCAGGTCAGTAACTTCGACGTTCTTTGGATTCAGGGCAGGGGTAGCGATTCAGAGAGAATCAGAATAGCAGTAGGGTGAATAACTGACAGAAGCTCACTTTTGTTGTTCAGATGGCCTGGTTAGTTCTATCCTTGCGTGCACTTTACCAACCTGTTTTGTGCTTAAAAGTTCTAGGAAAGCACAGACTATTCAGATCTTCATGTGCAAAAGTTGCAAGTGGCATTCTGATCAGTGAAGTGGCGGGGGGGAAGGGGGCAAAGCTTTGCTTAGACCCTCACGAACCCACTGCATGTGAATGTTTCCTTGATGAAAGGGCTACCTGGGGCAAACCTGTTTGAACAGACCTACAGATCACTCTTACCTACCCATTCATTGGGACGTTCATCCTAGCCCATCTAACTGGGAACACAAATGAAATGTGACCTACAAATGGACTAAGCAGTATCCTGAAGCCGTGTAGCAACTGGGGCAGCACTAAGGTTAGTTATTTGACTTGTCATATCAAGGGTTTCTTCTGCACAGCCTGGAGAGCGGTGTACAATGCAATACTTCTCCACAAAGGCCTTTGGATAGAGGTCTTTGAGTCATGGTGGGGTTTTCTCTACAACCCAGGCCTGACCATAGATTTGGGATACACAAGCTTTTGGCTAAGCTAATGGTGTGGGATCTAATTGTGTATATGAAATGTTTTCCTGCGCTAAGAACAGGTGGGCCCCTTTTCATCCTACTGCTTCCCCCTTGATAGCCTTTTTATTGAGGCCATTGTTCCAGATATGGTGCCTAGTGACTAAGGGACAGATGGAGCCACATACATACTTTCTGTATCAGCAAAAAGAAAAGGAGGACTTGTGGCACCTTAGAGACTAACAAATTTATTTGAGCATAAGCTTTCGTGAGCTACAGCTCACTTCATCGGATGCATTCAGTGGAAAATACAGTGGGGAGATGTGTATATACACAGAGAACATGAAACAATGGGTTTTACCATACACACTGTAAGGAGAGTGATCAGGTAAAGTGAGCTATTAACCAGCAGGAGAGAGAAAAACCTTTTGTAAAAAGAAAAGGAGTACTTGTGGCACCTTAGAGACTAACCAATTTATTTGAGCTCACTTCATCAGCTGTAGCTCACGAAAGCTCATGCTCAAATAAATTGGTTAGTCTCTAAGGTGCCACAAGTACTCCTTTTCTTTTTGCGAATACAGACTAACACGGCTGTTCCTCTGAAACCTTTTGTAGTGATAATCAAGGTGGGCCATTTCCAGCAGTTGACAAGAATGTGTGAGGAACAGTAGGGGGGAAAAATAAACATGGGGAAATAGTTTTACTTTGTGTAATGACCCATCCACTCACAGTCTTTATTCAAGCCTAAGTTAATGGGTTCCAGTTTTCAAATTAATTCCAATTCAGCAGTCTCTCATTGGAGTTTGTTTTTGAAGGTTTTTTTGTGTAATATTGCAACTTTTAGGTCTGTAATCAAGTGACCAGAGAGATTGAAGTGTTCTCCAACTGGTTTTTGAATGTTACAATTCTTGATGCCTGATTTGTGTCCATTTATTCTTTTACGTAGAGGCTGTCCGGTTTGGCAAATGTACATGGCAGAGGGGCATTGCTGGCACATGATGGCATCTATCACATTGGTAGATGTGCAGGTGAATGAGCCTCTGATAGTGTGGCTGATGTGATTAGGCCCTATGATGGTGTCCCCTGAATAGATATGTGGACACAGTTGGCAACGGGTTTTGTTGCAAGGATAGGTTCCTGGATTAGTGTTTTTGTTGTGTGCGGTTGCTGGTGAGTATTTGCTTCAGGTTGCGGGGCTGTCTGTAGGCAAGGACTGGCCTGTCTCCCAAGATTTGTGAGAGTGATGGGTCGTCCTTCAGGATAGGTTGTAGATCCTTGATGATGCGTTGGAGAGGTTTTAGTTGGGGGCTGAAGGTGACGGCTAGTGGCGTTCTGTTATTTTCTTTGTTGGGCCTGTTCTGTAGTAGGTGACTTCTGGGTACTCTTCTGGCTCTATCAGTCTGTTTCTTCACTTCAGCAGGTGGGTATTGTAGTTGTAAGAACGCTTGATAGAGATCTTGTAGGTGTTTGTCTCCGTCTGAGGGGTTGGAGCAAATGCAGTTGTATCGTAGAGCTTGGCTGCAGACAATGGATCGTGTGCTGTGGTCTGGATGAAAGCTGGAGGCATGTAGGTAAGCATAGCGGTCAGTAGATTTCCGGTATAGGGTGGTGGTTGTGACCATTGCTTTATTAGCACCGTAGCGTCCAGGAAGTGGATCTCTTGTGTGGACTGGTCCAGGCTGAGGTTGATGGTGGGATGGAAATTGTTGAAATCATGGTGGAATTCCTCAAGGGCTTCTTTGCCATGGGTCCAGATGATGAGGATGTCATCAATGTAGCACAGATGAGGAAACCCTTCAGTCTCAGAAGCCCCCTGGGCTAGTGTAGCTAAAATCTAGCTTCTGCAGTTGCTCTTGTAGGCACCTCCCTTTTTGTTCTTACGCTAATGCAGGAATTATCTGCATTTTAAAAGTCTTCTCCGTGAATAATAGTGCCCTCCCATTGCATACCATGTCCCACATCTGGGGGGGGGGGGTATTAACGGGAAACCCTCTTTAACTTTTGAGGTCAACTCAAGCTTTATAAAATACTGCATTAGGTATCTAGAGTGGTGTAGAATAGGGACTCGTATCCCACTGGTGGTACGTGAGCTTGATGTTCCATCCATTCACTTCCCAACAGTAGTTTAAGAAGATGGGATGTGAACCAATAAAGTTTGGGTGCCACTGGCCTAGAAGATAGAGCACTGGATGGGAACTTGAGACCTGGGTTCAAATCCTGGCTGTGTCACTGGCCGCCTGGTAACACTGGGCAAGTCATGTTGCTCTGTGCCTCAGTTTCCCCATCTGTACAATGGGGATAGTGATCTTGACCTCCTTTGTAAAGCACTTTGAGATCTACTGATGAAAAGTGCTAGATAAGAACTAGGGATTATTGCTTTTTCAGTCTTCAAAATGAAGTGAATGCTGCTATTTACATTTTTTCCAAATGAAAGTACTGTTGGCAATTTATCTCCAGTCCCTAAGTCTCTCAGCACATTCTGAGCATAATGGATGGAACCAATTCTCAACCCTGGAAGCTAAAGCCTTTCTTCGCAGGGCTGCTTCATGCCCATTAGCCTGATTCATGCTCTGTAATAATGTTCCCCCCTATGTTGTTTTTAAGGAGTCCTCCAGGCCGGACAGACTCTGCCCTTCATGGCTCCATGGCAGCTGCCCTGGAGTTCCCTGCAGCTTTCTGTGGGGGGTGTTCCAGGGAGACCTTAAAGAAGAAAACAAAACCCAGGCCCTTTTCTTTCAGTGGCAGAAAGTGATCCATCTCTTAGACAGCGGTAACAGCAGTCTGCAGGTGTGACTCTTACTGACCGTGGGGTGAGGGCTCTGGGAATCCCAAGGTCTTGCCTGCTCTTTGTGGATGGTCACTGTTGTAGGGCACCGTAAAAGGAGGGGTCTGTTCCAGTGACTTCAGCCAAAACGTTGCCTCCTTCTGTTGGCATGTAGCAGGTGCTGTGCTAGTCAGCTGCGGTGCTCCACCCCCCCCGAGTAGCTGCATGTTGGTAGCACTGTCCGTCGGTCTGTTTCTGTTTTAACTCAGTCACTTTCAGGTGCTTATAACTTTTCCAGGTTTGGTCTATCCCCAAGGTGACTTAAAAAAGTTGAGTATCAAGAGCGTGAAAAAAATGTCCCCATTATCTTGACATAAACGTTCTTGCATTAGTACCAGAATTGCTGGGAGGAGAAAGGTACTTGGCAAGGAACTAACCCATAATAATAGTCTGCAGCTTAACTGTGCAATGGAAAATGTAATGAAGGCGCATGGTGCGTGAGGCCACAATTCCATGTAGGGCTTCTCTCCTTGGTGGAAGTTGAGTTCTGTAACTTTCTACTGCATAAAGAAAAGGAGGACTTGTGGCACCTTAGAGACTAACCAATTTATTTGAGCATGAGCTTTCGTGAGCTACAGCTCACTTCATCAGATGCGTACC